ACTTTCTTAGTCAATGCATTTTAGAGTGGAGAGGAAAGCTTTGCTACCCATTTCATTCCCCCCCCCCCAAAATGGACACCTGTGCAAAACAATTAGCCACTGTTAACTGCAAATCATAAGGAGGCTGAATCAAAACTGCACCTGGACTTCATAAAAACAGCTTGCTTTGATTTCACAGACAAATGCAGCTCCTTAAACCCAAATAGGCTTGCATTTGTGAAAATACTTTTTTTCATTAAATGAAAAAGTGTTATTGTTTAGGACTGTACATATAAACTTGTGAAAGGATTCTTCAGAAGATGCTGACATTTTATGGAAATAATTATAACAATATGAGGTTATGGTTTTCCCCAGCTCTGAAATGGCATCCCAAAGTTTAAATTAAACTGTAGTACTTGGACTGGATGCAAATTTTTGCTCTACAATGAAACACTCATTGTAACCTACTTCTTTATATGTATTAGATTCCATATCCAGTTGGTGGATCTTCAGATAGAGCTGGGGGAGGCTCCTGTATGAAAGCCTGAAGAATTCCATTCAGAACAAACAATGCTAGGATAAATAAACTAGTGATATAATTTGATGTAAAGCAGCTTCCTACATCCCTACACATACTGTAGCCTGGATAATATGATTCCAAATAATATGCTGAGAAGTTATGGATCAAAATTATGTAAAACACACTCAGATTCCAACACCATGTCTATCTAATCCTCCTTCAGCATGGCTCATGGAAACTGAAGTTTTTTTTTGTATTTTAAGTCCAAACATTAATATACATAGTTTATCTAGGTTTGGATGTAACATTAAATTGCTTCTGGTTAAAAAGTGAAATGGAAAACTGCTGATGTCTTCAATTTAGTCTTGCTAAAGGACTGGGAGCTCATTCATGTAATATTAAATCATGATTCAGTGCAGCCTTTCTGAACATGGTGACCTCTTAGTTGTTTTAGGAGAGGAAGTGCCAGTATTCCCAGTCACTATGGCCTGGGGTTTGCATTACATATACTTTTATTTCTTTGTTAGTTTTATACCCAGCCTTCCATTCAGAAACTCAAGGGTGCACATACCATGCTCCTTCTCCCCATTTTATCACCATAACAACAACCATGTGAGGTAGGTTTAACTGAGCTGGTCCGAAGATACCCAGGGAGCTAGGACTCAAGACCGACTCAAAGGCACATGCATGAAAAATATTATTTGGTAGTTATGTCTGACATTTAGTTCAGGAAAACTGTTTGAGGATGGATAAGATTCTCTTCCCTCTCAGGTTACAAACCACATGTTCCTCCTTAGAACAAAGTTTCTCAATCTTGGCAACTTTAAGACTTTAATTCCCAGAATTCCCTCTCACCATCGCTAGCTACATCTCTGGTTCTACCCAATGGTTATTATTATGCAGCTAAGTATGCAAACGTGGAGGCATGTGCCAAAGACAAATCTAAGTCCTTCAAATATTTGATTAGCGTTCATTTATATTGTTGCTATAGTGATACTGAGAGATTAAAAAGTAACCATAACAACTGTTGTTAAAATACCCTGAGGGTGGGCTCTTTCCATCCAAACAATGTAATTTGGAATATTTGAGAGCCATTTTTTAAAGTTTGGTGAAAATCTTACCACATCTTTTGCCTAAGCTCTTTGTCCTGCCTCACTGAAATGTAATGTGGTTACTCTGACTAATTCATATGCACAAAGCCAGGATGGACAATCCTTATACAGTTTTGAGCTATAAATTTTACAGTCTCTTCCTACCCTGCTTCAAAGTGTAGGTAGTACGACGGAATAGGATACTGCATCTCTGCCTTTAAATGCACAATTTATCTTGCTTCTAAATTTCCACAGAAGTACAGGTCCTTCCTTCTCCATAGCAGCATCAAGTTTTTCAATCTTTATACTTAACAACTTTTATACTTACAACACAGAAATACATCAGAGCATGATTACTGAGAATTACCTGCAAAAATATGAAGTGATATCCACTGGGAACTTGTGTGCAAGCTCTACTGAAATAAGTGATTCATTTCAGTGAGGTCTGAGCAGACGGTGTTCCCAATCCAGCAACCTATGCCTGCTGTATGTATTAATATTAAGACCTGAAAGCACTATGGGTGCTATGAAAAAAGAAAATCTATAGAAGCTGATAAATGAGTTAGGGGTGAAGAACACAGATGTACTCATAGCAACGCTACTGTTCTAAGGACAGACATTCAATAAATGTAATCAAAGCCCATGTATTTTTCTATAAACTTAAATGAGCTAGATCTCTCCCATATAAGAAAATATTTTAAACCCTTCAGGCCATATTCAATTTTTTAAAAATTTCAGTCTTAAAACATCAGCCCACAATTAAGATTTCTTTCATTTACATGTTGCTTTTAACATACTATATTTTTACTTAGTTATCCTTTCCCATATCTGATTTTTTTCCCCCTTCCCTCATTAGGCAATAGCTGCTGGAGAGAGAAAAAAACCCATTTTTGGAAAGACTGTAACCAAACTGGGGGTTACATCTTAACCACTGAAGATCCACACTGCACAAGTCAAACCTATAGCATATCTACTCAGAAATACTGTAAGTCAAGCATGCACTAGACTGCAGTATTAAAAAGGCCACTGTTTGCAATGTAAAGAACAAAATGTAAGAAACATTGATAAATCACAAAATCATACAGACATCACATCCTAAATCTCAACTGCACCACCTATCTGTAAAATATTCTTCTATATACTTCATGTTAGCTTCTGCTTTTTAAAATTCCACTCTCTTCAACTACATCTTTTTTAAGCATTTGTTCATTAAGAATTCTGTGTGAGACAAGAGAAGTCTCATTCCTCCTAAATGAGACTTCTCTTGTCAAGAGCACCAAACAAATACGTAATTCAACTGATGCATCTCCCAAGCACATTATTTATGTGTCAGTCATAGTTCACATGCAAGTAATCCTGGTATTTTCTTTTCCATGGAAGCCTCATAGCCCAAAGAAACAAGTCTACGTACAGATACTTACAAATGTGAAGCTGGCAACAGCTGCATTCCTCAGAGAAAGGCATATGGTATCTTCTGTGCTTCACAGCTGTGTGTTGATTCTTCATTACCTATAGGTGGTAAAAGAGGGAGAGGGAAAATAAGACTAATAAATACAGGGAAGTCAAATTTTATCCACAAATAAATTTAGAACTTGTTCTCTGTGTTTACAGAAAAGTTCTATCAAAACCACAGATGCTGCAACGAAGGAATCAAGGTCATAGACCTGGACTTTTGTCACTTACTGGCCAGAGAGAACAAACACTCCTATATTTTGTTAAAATATAACCTATTCCATCATTGTGAGGCAAAAAACTGATTTAACGATCCCAGCACTGCAGCCATTCTGCTTCTAGATATGAACAAGGGAGGCCCTGGACAACCCTTCACTTTACTAGATTGATTTTAAAAATCCTGTTATAAAGCAAACTGTAACTACAGGAGATAATACAGATGGTTTGTATAAGATAGTGAGATGCACGTTCTCAGGCATAAAAGGACAAATTGCAACAGAAAAACAGTAAGAGAAAATGGAAACGTCAATTGGATTCTTGAGTTAATGTTTCTGGGAACTACTTAATATCCATTACTTTTAATATCAGAATGACAAAGGCTATTAATCTTTTAAAAAATATCTAAACAGCTAAGACTTGTTTAGATACAGTAATTTCTAGAATGAAAGGTGCAGGAGCTCAAGCCAAACTAAATTCCCTTGTGGGAACTAACGATAGCAAATCATTGGGTGATGGAAAGATACTTTAGGGGATGCCGCAGATTAAAACAAGTTTAAGGTTAAGCCTGCAATTGTAAATGCAAACCTAGACCCCTTATTGTACTGAAATCTGAGTAAACATACCTAGGATCAGTCAGCATGTCAGGTTTTTCCCCGTAACATGTCAAGGCTTTATGTCTTTCCCTACTTATACTTAGCCAAACATGGCTTGGCAACATCTTTGTATTGGTGTATCTCCATTATATCACTTTCACCTTGTTCCTACCCCGTGAGTGAGACAAATTAGTTCTACTGGTATTTAAACAGTATATTTCCACTCATTCTAACACCACTCAAGGTATATAAAATCTGTAAAGTTTTCCCATCTATTTCCTCACAGGAAGTTAGGTGGCTGGCAGTGACTTGAATCAGAGGCAATAGAGGGAGACTAGAGATCTGTATGGGGATAGCAAATTTCATGCCTACTGTATATAGCTCTTTGTGGATTCCAGAATGGGTGGTTAGCACTTCATATCGATTGTGGGGAAAGTGTGATACTGTTAAAAAAAAATAATACTGAGACATATTGACACTTATTGCCCCTCAGTCATATGTTCACTAGGTAGCTTGGGTAAGTCAATGGTAAAAAGTTATTGTAAAGTATAAGGAAAATACGACGAACATGGCTTCTGGAATTCTTTCTAAAGCCTTAAGCTACACTCTGGGAAGGAAGGGGGCTAAGAATGAGGAGCCAACAACATTCTGAGCCACTGCCCAACCACTGGGGGATGGTTCTCCCATAGGGGTGCATTGGGGATCTGCAGTTCCTGACCAGATCCAGCCCATATTCAAGCTCACAGTTCTTCTGTTGGTTTTCTTCTGCCAACAAATTGGTCCAGTTTTGTTTTCCAAGAGTTATCCTGTTGATGAACAGAGTCCCAAGTCTCTTTACATACAGTAATCTCTTTCCTGGATTTTGCTGGACTGGAAAGAACAAGGTAAGGAACACACGCAGAACATGGCTTCTGGAATTCTTTCTAAGCCCTAACAATTCACTCTGGGTCATGTGGCCAGGAAGAAGGCAGGAGGGGGGTCTTAAGAATGGAACTGCTGGCAAGGTTCCAAACTCAAGCCCTCGCCCATAGGAATGCATTGGGGGACCCCCCCCCCACATCCTCCAAGCAAATCTGGCCCATTTTCAAACTCGATCTTTTTTTTTGCCAGCCATTTTTCCCCATTCACCAAATTTGGTCCCATCCATTCTGTTTTTGGAAAGTGATCCCTGCTGATGGACAGAGAGATGGGTGGACATACAGAGTCCTGAGTTCATTTATATACTTTCCCTCCAACATTCCATTGGGTTGGAAAGAGTAAAAATGCCAAGAATGTTGAAGCAGCTCATACCAGTGACATCGGCTTTCTTTAACATCTGGAGTCCTCTGATACAGTCAGGAGTTGGGCAGGCACATGACTTTCGGCAAAGACAGCATTTAAAAGTCCCACTAATCCTAGCTTGTTAAGATCTCTTCAAGATATTACCAAGAAGCAAGGATGCTTTTTAACATCCCTTCAGGTTTAAGTCCTTCCCTGGTTACTTTAATGAGCATGACATGATTTTGCTCTATGTTTGGCAGATGCAAAAGCGGGGCAAGGAGGCAATGCTGGAGGCAGGGAGCTGTCCCTGCATCCATTTTAAAAAAGGCAAGCATGACTGTTCGGAGGGCAGGACCTTCTCTGCAACTGAGGACCAAGAACCAGGCAAGAGACCAAGGCTAACCTTTTCCCAAGCAGCACCGCCCCCTTTCCCAACATGATGGTGCCTTCTTGGCATACTGGGAAAACCCACGCTGGCTGGGGATCTGGGGATCTGCAGTCCCACAAATCTGGAAGGCACCAAGTCAGAAAAGGTTTTAATTATACTTACTCTAGAGAACAACTCGGTGCAGCTGCTTTATTGGTGGGAACCTACTAAGCCATTCCAGCCTTAGCAGCTCAAAACCGAAAGGACTGGGTTAGAGAAAAGGAAGAGGTCGAGATCAGTTTGGAGGACAGCCAGCACGTCACAGCAACCGACTTGCCCGCCAGGCAGCTCGACCACAGCCGGCGCGGAGGGCAGCAGAAGCAGCAGCGACAGCCTTGGTGGGGAGGCGCTCGCCTCCAGCGCACATACCAAACAGCTCGCCCGAGCCTCCGGCCCTAGTTTAACTGGTAGCTCCTCCTTTTGGGATAACTCACCCCTGCCAGCCTGGGAGGCTCCTCCGCCTTCCTCTTCCTCCTTTCTGCGCTCCTCCCCTTGGATGTTTCATGTAAACAACATCCAGGCTATATTTACAATCACTTGACTGGAAGCGAACAGTGCCAGGATTCTTAAGGAAAATAATAGTGCGCAACGTTTTAAGAGGCACACACGCCCTCTGGAGCAGATGCCTCCCTCCCTCGCGCCTCCTTCCCTCGCGGCCCCTTCTCGCTCTCTCCAGCCTTCGCCACCGAGCCAGTCTTCCTCCTCAGAAGCCTCCATCCGCGGAAGGGGGTCGGGCAGGGATGGGACGGCTCTCTCAAGCCCCGGGCCCAATCCTCTTCTCTCTATCTCCCTCGCGCGCCAAAGCACGGCAAAACACAAACGCTCGCTCCCCTCGCCAAAGTACGCCGGCGGTCGGGGCACCCAACAGTTAGAGCGGAATCCTCGCCCACAAAAGCCAGCTTGCCCAGCTGCGCACCGCTGCTCTGGGCGGTCACGTTTCCTAAGGGAAGAGAAAAAAGGAGGAAAGGCATCGACATCTCGCCCGAGCGCCTGCCGCCGCCTCCGCCGCCCCTCCTCCCTGGGGCGATAAACATTTTCCCCTCGCATAAAGATCAACCAACCTCCAGCAGGACTTTTCCGAGGCTCTGTAAAGCCGAACTGAGAGCGGGCGGATGGGGAGTTGGGATGCCAAACCCGGTGCCCTGCAATAAAGATACTCGCTCATCCCCCCAATCGTCTCCCCCCCCCGTTCCCTCCCCGCGCTGTGGCAAGTCACTGCCTCTTGCCCACCCACCTTTCCAGACGCGCTTGTTACCCCCTCTCTCTCTTTTCTTTGTTCTTAGGTTTCTTTGCATGAAGATTATCTAATGACGCAGCATAGAGTCGCCACAACGTGACTGTCGCCATTTTTCTGTTTTTATTGTATCTCTCGCACACTGCCATGTGATAGAAATTAAAAAAAAAATGAAACGCCAACCACCACGCAGAAAGAGACGCGCTCACACACAAACTTCCGGGTTCCGTGACTAGGGAAAGCAAAATAAAAAGAGGAAAGCAAAGAGCGGGTTGCGGGGGTGGGGCGCGGGGAGTGGGCGAGCGAGGCAACTTCTGGGGAACGCAGACCGCGCGCCTTGGTCTCGCTTTTCGCCAAGTGGAAGAGTTTCAGGTGACAAATAGGCAACGCGCATGAAAAGTATCGCCTGCAGCGCCTGCCTCAGTTATTGTCCTGGAGGATGACAGTTAAGATGGAATCAAATCAGAACAGGTTCTACTTGGTGAAATGTTTTCCATTCCGATCAGGAGTGAGTTCTGCAACTCGTACAGATTAAGACAATTGAAGAGACCGCCCGCACGGTTTTGGCAGCACCGTATTAAGGAGCGATATTGGAAACACACTTTCCTGACTTGCAGATCCTGAGAATGAAAATTTTATTAGCATCTTGGAGATACAGAACCAGTTTGCATACAGGCTGCGTGTATCGCTTGGATATTCCCTTGGTGAATGATTGCTACTGAAATGCATAGCAACGGGGCAGAAGATACGAAACTCTTCGTTCGCGGTTCGTTCGCAGAGACTCACAGAGATGTTAAAACCCTCAGATACTAGGCACACACATTTGTCAGCCCAGCACCTGTTTAGTACGGGAAAAACTTTCACAGGCATGAAGTTGCCGCTCCAGAATTCATTCCGACGTGCACATTGGCGTTTCTTCTTTGGGGTCCCCATAATTCAGCTGTAAGAGTCTCAGCGCAAAAACATAGTTTCTGATGTGGATGGGAAATGCTACACACATTTATTATGCTACAAAACCAGACAATCCGAGTTTTTTTTTTGTTGTTGTTATATGCCAGCTCAGACAGGCAGTTTTTCAATATTAGGTCTCAGATGTTGAACTGTTTTTCTAAAAATAATCACTTATGAATGCAGCATATATTTGTAAAAGCTGAATAACAGAACTTTAGCAAAAGGAAATTGTTTTGTCAGAAAACTGGAAGTGTATCAAATGTACGTATAGGAAGAAAAGAACCCTTATAATAAACAATTGGCCATCTCGATTACCAATATCTTTAGTTCCATTGATTTTTTTTCCAGATCATATAGAACCCCCCCTCCTATACCTAACATAATTAAAATTCTTCCATCCTGCTTGTTCACATTGATTTATCAATTCTTTAGCTCCTGCTAATCAATCTACTTCGCTATTATTGTGTCATTTTTAAGATGCATGAAAAAGCCCTTAAAGAAATATTTCAAAAAGTTATAAAATAAAACAAGGGAAAGGGGGAAATTTTCAGAGATGGCAGCCAGTTGAAAAGTCAGTAAGCTATTTAGCTATCAAATTTTTTCCAGGCAATAAAAGATAAAACAGGCAATAAAGCTATGTAAATTTATTTATTAAATCCTGTTGAACTCTGTGCAATTTGATGTGGCTTCTAAGACCTGAAATTGAATTGTCCCTGAATTGCTGCCATTCATCAATGAGTAATAGCAGCTGAACTCAAGGTAGCAAGAAAGTTACCAAACCTGTAAGCAAATATTATGACGCATATATGATTGTTGATTTGAACCAACTCTTAGAATATTCAGTAGCAAATTCAATCAGATACATTTTTATTTAAGTTAGGTTGTCATTGATTTTTTATTACATTTGGCCACCACCAGCATGAGATATCAAGTGTTTTATATCTAATTAGGAATTTGTCACTCCTTTTAATAGTCCACTTTCTTTGGGAAGACTTCTGCCCCAGCAGAGTGTTTGGAAAAGTAGGAGCTATTAGCACAATCAAGCTGCAAAAGTACAAAATACTATAACAAATATGCTGTAAATCTAAAACAACCTGTAAAAACTATGGAATGTAAAGGATCATTGGAACAAACACACACGGGCATGCCCTGCCTGGCTTAATGGAACTCTGAACCATTCTTTTATTTTATGGATGGAAGTTTAGAGTGCAACATCCTTGAAATTTGTCAGCTTGCCAAACATTTATCTAGAATCAATTTATGGTAGAAGTTCATAAAGCAATAACTCTTATAAATGCTATCTTTCCAATAAGAACTGAGGCATTATCCTTTGGCTTCAGGACATGCCTAGCCTGAATACATTATCAAAGCACCATCACTAGCATGACTATTAGGTTATAGCTATAAATGCTTTTTAAAAGGCTGCAATCCTTTACTTATTTCAGAGTAATTCCAAAACTGGAACAAATCTTACATTTTTTTCAGTGACTGATAGTTACACAAAACTGAACATGGAGTCTTATTTTAGATGGTTGTTTTCAAGGAGAAGCATCTTAAACTTTTTTCTCTTCATTTAATAGATTTAGCCCTGCTCAGTCACTAAAGATATAAAACACTCAGCAAATAAGTACTTCACCCTAAACTCAAGAGTATCCAAAGTTAATAATTGAGCAACTAACCAAACTCAAAGATTACTCTGTCCCCTGACAAGAGTACTGCATTAATTTGAAGTTAGCTTGCTTCTCCAGCTTTCAAATAGAGGGACATGGAGATGAAACAACCGAAGTTCAACAAAATGGATCAGCTCTTACAACTGCATGTTCTTTTTTTTCTTCTCTTTTCAGTGCCTGCATTAAAGCACACCCACCTTTACCCAGGGCAGGTAAAAGGAGGAGAAAAATAAAGTGGGGGAAGTTAAGCCAACTTATACCTTCCATAGTGGTTTTGATTCCAATTAGTCATTATGGAATTTTTTTTTTAAATAAAGCCACTACTAGTTGTTTTTTTTAAGGTCCTTTTGACCTGATAAATAACCTTCTCAGGTGTAGTGGCAGACCTAATCAGTAATCAAATGAAGGCATGGATCTAATAAATTTGCAATGAGACTTTCATTTCTTTTTTTCTGGCAGACACCCCTGATTGGTAGGCGCTACCAACTTATTTACCAATAATTGAGAAGGAAGTTCTGAACATAAGGGTGAAATAGAATCTGGGCATATCCTTTGAAGGAAGAGGTTCCTAAATTTGGGAATTGATTATGCCATCAAGTCAGCGTTGCCTCTTAAAGACTACATAGATAGATTTTCTCCAGGAAGATCTGTCCACAACCTGGTCCTTCACGTCTTCCAACAGCACACCCATTACTACTGTAATTGAGTCTATCCACCTTGCTGCTGACCATCCTCTTCTCTTTCTTTCTACCCTTCTCAGCATGATAGATTTTCCAAAAGAGCTAGATCTTCACATAATGTGTCCAAGTATTTGAGAATACTAAATAGATTAGTATTTCTGTAAAAGTTGCAGAAACCAAACTTTGAGCCCCTAGGACCACATACAGAACTTAGCATTTGTCAACAAAATCTAATTTTAATATGATATATATAATAGTTTCTGTACAATAACAATATATATATTCTTAAATTGTGGGGCCAATTTAGCCACTTTTTTTTTAACATAACTTCCTATGCTCTTCTTAAAGACTTTGGGACCCCAAATGTTATGCAGTTGAACAAATTACTTATCTATGGATTGTATTTTCAGAGAAAAAGATCTAACTGGCCTCTAAATGTATTGTGTGTTAAAAACTTCCTCACATTCCCTAGTAAGTGCCTACATTTTCGTCCATTTGGCAGCAATCTCACAGAGAAAAGAAACAGGTTTAAACACACTTTTAAAGAAACACAATTCTACCCATAATCCTGAGCTCCCTATTCATTCTCATTAATCATTCCCTTCGATTTCCTTGCCAGCAATGTATTTCCAAGACTTTGAATAAAAGAAAAAAAAATCACGAAGGAAAAAAAAAAAGCTGTGTGAGGAAGAACATTTCAGGTTTAGTTTTTTTAAAAAATAAAAAAATAAAAATGCTTTTTAAATATCTGTAACAAAACTACGAAGTTCACATCTGACTCATTACTGCGTGGCTAACCTCCCCTCCCCTTCCCACATGCGCATCTCTTCCAACATTATAAAACGGCAGCACCTATCCTGTCCTCCCCCCCCCCCTTTAAATTCCCCCCCCCCCCCCCCCCCCCCCCCCCCCCCCCCCCCCC